AAGAAAACAAATGAAAACCCCCCTCTATTTATAGAACCAGCCCCCTAGGCAAATGACCAAAATAACCTCACAAAATACCCGTTTTTTGACCGTTTTTGGGGGCAAAACGGGCAAATGGCCAATCTGGCCGTCGGCCCGGCCACACGGCCGTTTTGGGCCACAACGGTCCAGCCTTGGTGACCGTTGTGGCCGGGCCGGGCCGGGCCAGGCCCGGCCGTTTTCACACAACGGTCACTATTGGTGACCGTTGTGGCCGCCCGGCTTTTTTTCCGGCAACGGTCACCGATTTGTGACCGTTGGCCACACGGGCCGGCGGCTCCGGCCCGGGTTGCCCGGCCGGATGATGCCGGCGCCGTACTGTTCCGGGCCGGGAGCCGCTGAGGCAACCTGGACCCGGGCCGGAACCCGGCCTGGCCCGGGATTTCGGGCCGAGGCGCGGCCGGGCGCCTGGTCCGACCGGGCCGGGGCCGGGCCGGGCGGCGGCCCGGCGGTAAAATGGACAGCCGGCTAAAATGGGTGCCTTCAATTATTAGGACAGCGCCGGATTGCTTGAAGCAACCAACTTCAGGGTCAAAACAAAGCGAAAACAAACAATTCCAGAGACATCCAAACGATTGTACTTCACATAGGGCTTTATCAAACCCAATAAGCTTTAGTATTTGCTGCAATCAACTTGTTTTTTTGGTGTAACGTGAATCGGGATACATCTTTTATAAGGCACACAAGTATTTTACCGTGCGATGCACGGATCAGTGCTATTTGTTAACGCCATCATCTACTCTCTTGTGTTTTTTTTTTGGAAATTTTTGTGTGTGTTACTTGTGCTGTTTTGTATAACGTAACTTAAGTTTTATATCTTAATGTTTTATTTTCTTTTGAAATTCACTTTCATACATTACCTTGCACCTGTTAATTAGCATTGATACAAGTAGTTAAAATTTGCTTGTTGACATAATTATCTAGTATCCTTATTTAAATTTTTTGGCATTATTGTACTTGACAGCAAATTATAATATTAATTAGTAAATAAATTTTCCATATTTCTTTTAGACGATGCAACTGTAGAGAGGTGTTTCTTTAAGACAATGTGTATGTGAAAAGTAAGTAAATTTTACTCTGTTTTAACAAAAGCAATCTAACAATTGCTAAGCATGAGCTAGTGTTACTATGTGAATTATTGTAACTTTCACTTGCATTAATAATAAATCAACCTTGTGCCATAGACATTTAACTTAATTTGAAAAAAATAAATTAAAAAACTAATTAAAAAACTTTGTCATTAATACAGAACTTGATGATAAAAAAACAATCAATATAAATTAATTATATCGATTATCATAATGCAATTGGAGTAGTGAGTATAAATAATAGATACTCTTGTCTATATTTGCAATGCGTAGGACTGTAGTAATTACAACTTCGTTTCAATAGTTATTTTCTTCACATGAAAAGTTATAATTCTAAATTAGCTAGTAAAATTGTCAAAACAGAAATAAATATAGCAATGTGCAGAATCAAGATTCTTGTATAAGAAATCTTCATCTTACTTCTTTTTTTATGTGATTTATAACCAAAATAATGTTCATTATGATCTATAATGTTCATTATGATCCATACATTCAAAAGTTTACAAAGATAAAAAATCACATAGATTAGATATTTCTAGTTTATAAGTCTAATGACCTAGAAATGAATGGTCTGTAGTGATTCAACATATCATTTATTTCTAGTTGCTTGATTTATAAGAAAGAAAATTCCAAATCATATGATTTTTTATCCATGTACATTTGATGACACATAGATTACAGTGAATGGTTTGCATTTACAAGATAGATAGGAAAGATGTATTATAACATATGTGTGTAACTAAGTTACACCATTGGATCATGTTTGGCAAATGGTTAAGGAAGATAGGTTAAGAAGAATGATTATCATAGTTAACTAATTTGATAACCCAAAGAAATAAATTATTAACATGTTAAATAAGTTTTATTTTAGCTATTCTGATCAGTTTTCTTGTTTGGGAATAACAATGATTTTGACTATTTTTTTTATTAGAGATGCTAACTCTTACTCTTTCTAAATAGGAGTATTAGTAAACCCATCATTTTGAGGGGTTAACTCATTTTAATACATCTAAAGGGCTTAACTTAACCCTTATACATTTTTTTGAATTTGACAAATTATAAAGAGCTAACTCACTTTAACCATTGTATACTTTTTTTGTGTTTGACAGGTTAAGAATGGTTTAAGTCTCCTTAACCCCTCACTTAACCCATTGCCAACAAACACCCGTGTATTGTAACCAGCCCTTATTTAAAAATCTTGCATTTGGTTAACCTTTTGCAGTGTGATAAGAATAACTAAATGCAATAGTTGCAGTGAGATGATCAAAATGCACCTTCTCAGAGCATGTTTGGCAACTTTCAATTATAATCTACTTGACTTATTATCCATAAATGGATTATAAGCAAGTGATTTATAAGCCAAAATGTTTTGTAAATTTAGTAGATTAAATTCATTCCTAATAGTAAAGTGTATGACAACTGATTAGTTTATGAGCTATCATTACTGTCAAAATGACCATAAAAACATTTAATGGCATTGGAGATAGATAAATGGAGTTTGGAATTTTGTGAAATGTGAGGGCTACATTGGATTTTTACTTGGTCAAACCCTGTGGCTTATAAGCCACCAAAAAATAAACTAGGACACCCCATCTTATTTTTTAGTGACTTCTAATTAGAAATAAATCATTTGTTAAATATGTCAAATGGCTTATAAGTCACATAAATGACTTATATAAGCTACTTTGACAGCTTGTCAAACATGCTCTCAATGTTAGGAATACCAATAGATATGGAATATTGGTTTGTGCTTGCTCAATCTATCTTTCTTCAAATTTCAATCTTTCAAAAAACCAATAAACCTTTTATAAAATGGAACTTCTAATCTTATAAGCTACATAATATGGCTTCTTATAGCTTATATTATTTCATTTAATTAAAACATGGATAAATTATACCAAACCCCCAAGAATTTCATCATTTGCAGTAAACCACCAATAACTTTCAAAATCACACTAAGTGTCTAGGAACTTTCAGCGTATTGTAATGAACCCCCCATGTCCTTCAAGATCACAAACCCCCAATAACTTTGGATTACAAAAAAACACCTAATAGATTTTGAGATTTAGCAAATAATCCCCATAAATCATAACTTAAAAACAACATAAAAAGCACCGTGAAGGCAATTTTAGCCAAAAAAACGGTTAGGGTTTGGGACATCAACTTGGCCGCGAGAAAGACATGAATGACAAAAGAAGAGAGATTTCTACTTTTATATTTGAAAATATTAAAAGGTCACAAGAGTTTTTTCTAAATAATTTAAGGGGTATTTAAGTCTTTTTGAGTCACACGAGTTGCCCGCGCCTTGTCAGATATAATGACATTAACTTTGGAGATTTCTTACAAAAGTTATTGGGAATAGTGTGATTTTGTAAGTTATTGGTGGCTTGACTACAGAACGCCAAACATTCACGGGGGTTTATTGTGATTTTTTTTTACGAGGGGAAAGAATAAAGCCTCGCACAGAAGACCTCAGCGCTTTGTACCTTTCTCAAAATAGTCGTTACAAATAAAGAACCATATTTTGAAAATACTGAAAGTTAAGGAAGGTTTTCCAATAATTGTCCAAAGTTAGGGGAGTTTTCTGATATTTATCCTAAATTTACCATTACAATTTTATCAGCCGACAAGAAAGATTTCGATCGTACCAGTGCATCGCTCGGAGCCTGATGAACATCGTTGATTGTTCTTTTTCGAGAAGAAGGTGATTGGGGAGTGGAGGGCTGACACGTGTCAACTTGATAGAACGAGTCATTTGGGCAGCACCAGTCCTACTACTATCAGACCAACATCCAATCTCCAATCTAACGTCTCCGACGAAAGCATTACATTTCATTCCTTGATTCAACAAATCCGGTCGTTGGACCTAACTATTAGAAGTAAACAGTAAATTAAATATGTAACTTTCTTAATTATGAAATAGAAAATAGTGAAACTAGTACTTATTTTGTTTGTTTTATATATTTTTAGAAGTAACGAAAATAATACTTTATCATCTTTTTTTATTTATTTGTTTGTTTGGATGTAAAATTGGATATATTATTTAAGATCATCTGTCCTTAGTAAATCTTTAATTTAAGTGGACCTCACTTTTTATCCGCTTCCCATCTATTTCTGAGCTTTTCAAGGGCGGAAAAAAAAATCTAGGAAGTAGAATACCTAGACGACACATCTGTATTTATGGAAGTAGCTAAAGTAGTCTTTTCGGAGAAACAAACATAATTTTTTACTTGAAGTAGAAGAAACTTCATCTACTTCAGTTACTTCTTTGCTACTGTCGTCCAAACAAACAAGTTGAGCAAAATTTTTAGAAAACTAATATTTTTAGAATAAAAATTAAGTTTTGGGTTATTATAAGATTCCAAAAGTTAGGTTTGTTTCAAATTTTTTTAAAGAAAATATTTTTTAAAAGAGAAAAAAACATTAACTTTTTTTAGACAACACAAATCCTATCTGCTTTTCCTCTCTCTCTCTATATATATGATGGTTCTTTTCTTATTCTTTGAAAATGAAACAAACATGAGTTTTAGATATACTTTCCTATTATTTAATTTATCATTTTAAATCAAACACAAGTTTTGAAAAAAATTTAAATTTTAAATCCATTTCCATAATTTTATGGAAATGAAAAAGGAAATAGCAGCAGCGCCCAAGGGCATTCTCGTAATCCATCATATACCTTTCGTTGACGAAAAAAAAACCTCTTTAAAAAGAACCGAGGGCAGTTGCTGCTGATTCGTGTCCCATCTCACAGCCTCTTCACCCCCTCAGCTTTTGGGAATCGATCGAGAGATGGGAGCGAGAAAGAGGACGCTCTCAATTAACACGGAGAAAGCGAGAGGACCAGAGGCGGGAGG